ACAAACATCGGAGCAACAGCCACCCCCAACCCAATAAATTGGCAGTTACACACATCAACGTCGACGCGGCTTTCTTTGTTGTATCTGGACTAATCCACCCCAAGTGTAATTTGCAGCGGCCCGTGCCGGTCACGTGACCGTCTCCCGTGGGGGCGGCAGCGTCGGTGATTCCCGTCATCCCTTTTATTTTCGTTTCTGTTGCATTTGTCGTTAGCTTGTGTGTGTTTGTGTGTTTTGGCCGCAGTAGTAATTATGAAGTTTGGTATCGCACCCCGCGCGCGTTGTTGGGTGTGGGATGTGCGGGGGGGTGGCAATTAGAATGCGGACGGAGGGCCGCGTGCCCCTCATTCCGGTTCTGCCTTTTTGGAATGGGACGACAATTACGTTACGTAAGGCGAATGTCGCGAGCACAGAGGGCATTGTGTCGGCTAATGACACGGCAGAGGTCGGATTGGCCCTATTATATGCCCTCGGAGATTGTATTACCGAACACAGGATCTGCGCCTGACATCTTAGTGAACCCGTCTCAGCGGGATGCCTAAGATCCCGGGACTACTTCCACATCCAACGACAACAACACGACATACACACACACACGCTCAATCCACCGACACACAAATCGAATCTAAACTTGTTCCTAAATCGTTTTCTCCTCTGCCTTCTAGATTTACCTCGAACATAACAATTTCGTAAATTTCATAATCCTGGAAAGGGAATGAAATCCAACGATGTTTTCCCTCATAACTATAAATATTATTAAGAGCTGTCTTTAGTTAAAATTCAACAGTTTTCCTTTTCACAAATATAATTGCAACTTTAAATATTATAAATATTGAGTTAAAATTTTTGTGAATCATATGTTTCATTTATTACATTATATATTTACCAGTAATTTTTTTAATTATTAATAATTGTAAATAATATTTAATTAATTACACAACGTAAAATAGAATCACATATACTGTTCCTTTATTACATTTACATCATTGACAAAATTGATTTTAACTAATTTTTATAAATTGTCTATATAACTTTCGAAAACGTCCATTTATTTACAACTACATTTAAGTTCAAAATTATTGGTAGTAAATTTGATCAAATTATTGCTATTTCTAATTTAATAAATTTACAAACTATAGTAGATATTTTATACTATTTTATACATTTGCTGTACATAAAAAGTAGAAGAAGTAGAATATTGATATTTTTATAGTAGAATAAGTAGAATATTTGACAAATTTAATAACACATGACATACTATTGCGAAAAATTATTGATACAAATTCCAACATATTATACTTAATTAATAAATTTACATTTATTACATTTGATTAGTGTGAGATTTTTTTAAACGTTAGTAAGAGGTTCTATTGATCAATCTGAAACAATGCCGATGAAAACAATAAAATCAATGGTTTTAAATCGAGTATAAAAAAACGTTCGAGGCATTAATTCTCTATTCATTTCAAATAATGGGAAATGGCGTGTGTGCGGCTGTGTATGTGTGCGCAAGGTTTGAGTTGGGCTTAATTGCCTTAATGGGATGTAATTAGAATCGCTGCGGGGTTTTCGAAGAGATTCGACGAGATTCTAAACAAGCCTTTCTTCCACGTCGTCGTCAACGTCGTCTCCGTTACCCCGCCGTTCCCCGAACCTCTCATTTCGTCCTTCCTCCTCCACCCATCATCATTCCCTTCTCATAAAGTCTGAACCCTCCTCGAACTGAACTGAATTAGCTTAGCATTGTTAATTAAACCCTTAGACAAGTTAGTGACGAAAATTTCCTTAATAATGGCGTTCGTAATCAAAGTTTCAGAGTCGCTACACTCACCCACCGTCTCCCAGCCCTCACCGTACCACCCTCCAGCACATTTACGTTAACCGAAATTAATTATTAGTTAATGTCCGTTCGCTTTACAAACCGCAAGACCGAACTGGCGCACTTTGATCACCGATTTACAGGCAATCAATCACGTTCGATTCATTCAGCTTCAACAGCAATCGAATTCATTAATGGTAGTAACCCAATTCCTTTCATTACGCCTCTGCAAACAACAAAGACACATCATTTAAAGTTATATTAATAATAAACATAACATACATATTTTATACAAGTTCGATAATACGTACATCTGTTCGAACTAACATACACAAATGCCTTTAAACGTACAACATATGATACTAGTTGGCAAAGTGTATAGAATTTGTGCAAATGATCTAATAAGTGTGTACAAAAAAAACCAAAATGCATGCATTTATGTAATAATTAACTATTTAATTTACGTACATTTGCTTAGCAATTTGTAGACGCATTATATACGTCAAGCACTAAGAGAATATATTAAAGATGCAATGAAAACAATACAAACGAAAAACTTGTCGATTATACAACTTTCCGAGCTTTATAGCTTTCCGAAACAAATACATCTATTATTCAAATACGCATTATGCGGAAGTCTGTTCGATGTTTGACTTCCGTTTCCTCCTTCTCCTTCAGCCATATTCTTTTCATATATTTTTTTTTTCTATTATGTTTAATACCTGAAAGAATAAATGGCTTTCTCTTTCACCCCTCAATTCCTTCGTTCGTTTCGCTTTTTGACAAATGACACACTCTAATGTCATTACGCTGTTTAGAAAGGCAATGATTATTTGCTCAACAATCGCAGCCAAATGCAGGTGTAATGCGCCCTAATTGATACGGTTATTGATTACAAAATAAATACTATTGTTTCGGGCCGAGGAAAACAGGGGATGGATGGTATGTGTATGCGTGGCGTGGAAATTGATCGGCCACTTTATTTTGTTGGATGTTATTAAGTGAAAACGGCCAAGTTTAACGGCGTTCCAACATGCACCAAAATACGTGCGATTTAAACTATACAATCAATTAAAATCAGAGTGTTTAATTCTCTATGTTGTATTTCATTATATATATTTCAGTTAATAATGGTATTGTTTGGTTAATTATGATTTAACTTCATAAATTATTTCAATAATAACATATTTTTTGTAACTTTATTTGATGAATTAGATTTTCTCACATTCATCTAAAAACAAATATTTTAAATTTATTAAACGCAACTAATGAAATTTTGATGTTAGGAAAATATTAACAAGATATTTTAAGTGATTTTGACAAAACAAAAGCTCCGTGCCTCAGCACGTTTAATAAAAACGTGTAGAGTAGAGTTTATTGTTGATTTAGATAATTCAATTATTTGGTGCAAATAAAGACAAATCTCACTGTTTCGACATTTAACAAGAATATTTTATATAATGTACAAGAAACTATATATAACATAAGTTTGTTTTTAAGTTAAAGTTATTTTATATTGAAAGGGTAGTTAAGTTGTTTATTTATTCAAAATAAGCGGTATTTAAATTGTTAATTCGATTTCGATTTAAATTTTGGGCAAGTAGTTAAAGGGAAGTTTTACGAGCAAGATGGGAGCCGTGGGTTGGCGCAAACGAAGATCTTAGGAGGGTGCGAAAGATAAGGGGGATGGGATCTTTCGTTGATTATCCCTCTTATTCTTGGTTTTCGACTAGGGCGCCATCTTGTGAGTTCCTGACGTATTTGTTAGATATGTATGTGTGAGCGTGGGTTGAGCAAAACTCTGGAGATTGGTTTAGAACTGAATGCATTAATTGTCAATTTGATCGTCATTCTTTTTTAATGGCGACGCATTGAAGTTGGAAAGTCCCCAAATTGAGTAAATCGAATGAAAAAACTTTTATGCCTTGGTGGCGCGGCGAAAAAGAGAGCGGCGATAAAAAAGAGGGGGGAGAGAGAGGGGGATGCAATTTCATCATCATCAACATCATCTCTGCGTCCGAGGCAATCACGAGGCGTGCGCGTCCAAATTGGAAATTACAAGCTTTTTAAGGGATGGAAACTGCTTCGCCTTCGTTGTTTCATCCGCCCCCGCTCTTCATTTCTCTTTAACATCTTCTATTATTTCGTTTGGGAGTAGTTAAATGAAGTACTCGATGATGCATGCTAGTTGCCCAATAAACTGCAAAGTCAACTCTTCCTCGATTGATGTTATTGGGGGGTTGTAAAGGCGGCGACGGTGGTGGTGGTGAGGGTTGTCGGGAGGCAGTCGGAGTCTCTGTTTGTCGCCAAAGGCCTCCGGGCGATGCAGGCGATCCAATATTAAATTTGTCTTCATTTTGATATTTAATTATTTTCTGGGCGAGCTTTGTCCTCAAAGACCGCGCCGCCGCCGCCGTCTCCTTCTCCTCCTCTTCCCACCCTCTGTGTACACATTCATTTCCCAAATCCGCCTCGCATTAAAGATAATTAAAGATATTTTAATTAATTCCAGACGCCGCCGAATTGTTTATATTACAATTCCGACAATTTTCTACAAAATTACAGAGAAAATCTTAATTTAAATTCGATAATTACAAACGAGTGCAGCACTTCTTAACAAGTATTACATAATATTATTATTTGAAAACCAGATATCACAATTGCGTATTTGATGATTATCCACTTTCTAAAGTTAAATAATATTTAACACGATTTGTATTTGAATTGGTGACCCGCGTATTTTTATTGTTATAATACAATTACTAAAGAACTAACACAAATTACGTGTAATACACATTAAAATAATTATTAATATAATATAAAAAATAAAAACTATATCTTTTATTTGTATCAAGGTTCACACATAAGATATGTAAGATTTAATATATTTGAAGTTTCATAACTTTTATTCCTTTATTATTACTTTTGTATGACAGTTGACAGCTTTGGGTGCAATAATAGCTATTACTATCTTCTTATTGTTTGTTGGAGCACCTGTTTGACAACAAAATCAATGCAAATCTTGCAAAATGTAATCCAGATTTGATATTGTAGTTGATGAATGTAATACTATGACAGTAACCGTTTAAACTTTGTGGATAAGAAATATGTATCGATGGTTGATGAATGTAGGTAAATAGAATGCATTTTATTAATTAATTTGTTCTGTTGATTGTTGCAGGTCTGGTTCCAAAATCGCAGGGCGAAATGGCGGAGGCAGGAGAAAATGGAGGCGGCCCGATTGGGCCTGAGCGAGTATCACGCTGTTTCGACGCTGAGCAGAGCGGCAGGATCGAGCCTTGCCCTTCCGATGGATCCGTGGCTCTCGCCGCCCCTGCTTTCGGCGTTGCCCGGCTTTTTGAGCCACCCCCAAACAGGATATCCCAGTTACTTGACGCCCCCGGTTCCCGGCGATCATCATAGCCGCCACCCCCCGGTCGCCCACTCTCACTCACCCTCATCATCCTCGTCGCAGCATCACAACACTCCGCCTGATATGCGGACCACCTCCATAGCCGCCCTCCGTCTCAAAGCCAAAGAACACGTGGAGAACATCACCAAGGGTCTGCAGATGGTCTAAGAATCGGGGACGCGAATCGTGCTCGGAACAGTTCAAAAGGACAATCCTAATGTACATAAACTATAAACAAAACTAAAAATTTCTAAAAAAAAATAATCTAACATTATATTGTGGTGAAAATATCAACTAATTAGTGTACTTGGGAGTAACCTCCATCATTTCTTATCATTTTATTTCCCTTTTTTGTATATATCAGTGTATTATAAATAAGTGTATATTGACTATATATTATTACTATACGATAGTTGTTGGACTTTTTCATTTTTACGTACGAGCAAATTCTATGTTTATCCATTTGTAAAATACAGGCAACTTATACATGTAAACATTTCATCGTAAAAAGTAAATAAAATTTAGAAAACAGAAAGAAAACTCAATATATTATATGAACATTTGTGCACCCACGATTATTTAAATAATATTTGCAAATGTTTTTATTCATTTTGACAAGTAAATTTTAAATAAAGTTTTTCAGATTATAATGAATTTACCAAAATTTCAGGAATATTTTTTGAAACCAATCAAACTTTACAAAAAAAACTTATATTAACATTTCAAATTTTGGATATGAATAACTTAACTTAGTTTACAAAGAAACAACAGATTCTTAATAATTATTTAATTATTCGTTTATAATCATATGTATTAAATTTTTTTCTTATATTTAGAAATCATTATTGTCCGTAAAGGCCATTAAAAGTGCAATATTAAGTTATTGAAAATAATGTATTATTAACATTATATACTATTTGCAAGGTATATGAAACAATTAAAGACCAAATTACAATTACTAATGAAAATATTTTAAAGTAAGATGCAAACATTGTTTATACTTTGAATGTCAAAAGAGAAAATTGGAAACTGTTGCAAACTTTTTATTTGGCACAAATTCTATAATGTATTGATTTTTTTCTTAGTCATGGATCATAGTAATTCTAAACTAATGGATGGCTTTCTCGAGTTCGTCTTTTTATCGTGTAAATGAAATGATTGTATACAAGAAAATATGATATAATAAGCTTTGAGAGGAAAACCAAAAAAAAACAAACAAACTATGATTTCGCTTGTTACATTTTACTTGAACTTTACCTCAGTGTGTTCTTTCTTTGCGTTTGAAACTGTTCCCAACTAGAGCGATCTTAGAGACGTTACATAATTAATTTATTATAATTTGTTTTTCATGCAATTGTACAGAGTGATTACGAGAACAAGTTTAATTTAAATTTCGTTTCCTTTTAGAGCTGTGAATTTTTGTAAATAAAAAAGCACAATAAATTATGATTACATTTAGATTTTGTCTGCATCGAACAAAAAAAAAGAACCTGTCTAAATCCTCATTGCAAATGCCGCATCTGTTATTTTGATTTTCTCTTTCGCTCTCTTTTCCTCATTGCTTTCTCTTCTTTCCTCTTTTTCCCTCCGGTGGCAACCGATATTTAATTGCGAATGCAATTTCGCGATTTCCATCCGTCCCCCGCGTGGTCGCGTTTCACGCTTTCCGCCCTGCGCCCTTTGAACTTTTCTTAATGCACGTTAATTAAAATTAAAATTGTTGCCGTGTTTTAATAGAAACAAAATTAAACCAAAACCAAGAGAGAGAATGTTTTAATCATCATTTTAACAAGTTATTAAGTTGCGTCTAAACGTTCGTAATGAATGTGGGGTTGCCATTTGGGTGGTTGCGGAGGGGGTTGGATGGAATAAAGTAGAAGAGAGATGGTTGGATTCGTGATGCGTGGAAGTGAGTGGAAGAGGGTTGAAGGTAAAATTGTGTGAGTGTAAGAGAGAATGATAGTGGGGAGACGGTTTTGGAATTGCTGCTATCTCTCTCTCATTTAATAAGTGCAGTTTAGTTAATACAGTGGAGATCAAAGAGCTCTTCAGTTTTAATTCCACTTTATCTACAGGGCGTAGCGAAAATCGGAGAGAGGGGCGGCGGCGGCGTTGGTGGATCGGGGGCGGTTGGTGTGTCGAAGCTCTCGGGGCTAAAGCAATAAAATGCTAATGCGTGTTTGTCGTCGCTAATCAGCCGGTGCTTCGAAATCCCCTCAATAATATTCTACCACCTACGCATATAAATGCGCAGCAACAAATTTCCTGCCGCCCCTCGAGCTTTTGCCGCCACCTCCGCCTCTGAAACACATACACACGCGCACACACACGCTCACGCAGTCCCCCTTTTAATACACTCTCAATCAACCCCTAATTCATTTTTAATTGATTAAGCACAACTTCATTAACGCATACCATTTTGATATACAATTTATTACGAAAATATTTCTTCATCATCACGTTACAAACACTAGTTCCCTCGTAGAATTCCACCTGATTTGACGCATTTATTGGGTTACCTAAGCACCGCATTTTAGTATCATTGATTTCTTCGATCCAGTTTCATAACGATTACTTGGTTCATTCATTAATATCATAAAAATTTGAAAACTTGTTTTACCTTAACCCGTGTTTGCCCAAACTCCAACACAGAAAAAACATTGATTTTATTTTGAAAACCCCCTCATTTATAATAACTAAGATCAAAAAAATACTATTTTTTACAAAATGCCACATGCTGGCAACGTAAGGGATTATCAACTATTTGCGAATAATGTGCAGTATTATAAAATTGTTGTAGTGTTGCTCCGTATCTTATTTGATCTAAATAAATAAACAACGCCATATAGTCAGATGATAGCTGCTACAGTTTTCATGCGTTCGTCATGGTTAGGTGCTACATATAGGTAAAAAGTACCGGACACTATTTATTCCCACGAATAGCAATATAATAAGTATTCATAGACTGATCACTTAGATCAACTCCTATTCTGTTGTAATAAATTTTTAATGCACAAGTAAATCATTTATTTTTAAATCAAAAGTACTTACATTAGAGGTTTCAATCTGGCGGCCCGCAGTCTTCATTCGGTCCTCGAAACAATTTTACACGGCCTGCATATAGTATTATCGACATAGAGATATGAACTGAACTTAAGTGCGTGACTTCTCTTAGTAAAATAGAAAAAAATAGAATGAATAGGTTAAAGCAGCGATTCCCAAACATTCTCTGTTTCCGGCGCCCTTAATTTATCAAAACAATTTCCAATTTCCAAGTCAAAAAATATGTCTATTTCAGGGCGAACTTTAAGTTAATAGTAGTTTTTCAATTTTCGAGGCATTCCTATGGCACCGTCGGGAAACCCTGGGTTAGAGCTTTGTCACTGACTTGTAAGCTGACTTCATGTTCACTTTGATTTTGTTATAAAAAAAAATCCAGCACGTGATCTATTTCAGCAATGTTAGTGTGAAAATTTATTTTATTTAATAATTTAGTCCGGCCCTTGACTCGGACATAGAATGATAATTTAGCCACAGAACTATGAAAGGTTGTCATCCTACAAAACCTTCATTCATCCCGTCCTCACCTATCCCTCCACCATCCTCTCAATCGCATCCCAACCAAGCCTTCAGTGAATCCGCCGCTTCGAAATAAATGTTATCAGAATAATAAAAAAATCCACTACCTTCACCCCAGCGCGCATCTTCACGACCTTGCCTCACTACCCAAAATCTCCGAATTCATCTACAAACTCCAAGGTCGACATGCCGCCAAAACCTTCTCCCGTAACCACCACACTCGCACCCTTAACGTCCGCCCACCCATCTCCGCCAGCGCCTGCAAACCCAAAAACAAAATCCCTTATCCACCGGCAATTCTCGTCCACAACGCATCCCCGGATGAAGACCCAGTAATAGCACAATTCCTAAACACCATCAAACCCATGTTCCTTCACCCAAACCCAAACCTCCCCCAACCTAGCTCATCATTCTTCAGCTAGCATATAAGTATAATCTATAAATACTAAGCTTTTTTTTAATTTTTTACTCAATCTTCATAACATCATGTACGGCACCCATTTAATCAGCATTCTCTCTGTATGGCATATCTACATAAATAAAATGTCTTTAAAACTGGAAAAAAACTGAAAGGTTGTCATACCTACTTTAATGTAAACAGTGCCATCTATTGCTCATATTGATAAAGTGGGCACAGATTCTTTAATGATATATATTTTGAAAGTATATTTGAAATATACATTACTATTTAACAAATTTGCAAATTGATGACTTACTAAACTTAGGTAATTTTGAGTTTAAATACAAAAATACAAAATCTATGCAATCAAATTCAACAAAACAATACATTTATTTATACAATTGCTTTAACTTTTTAAAATTTAATATGTACATAAAAGTTAAATCAAACTAAGCGAGTTAAAAACTGAGAAGACTGTTATTGTGTAAAATCATGAGAAAACATACACAATTTTTCTATTAAACGTAAGTATAAAAGGTTTTAAAACCACATAACACGTTAAAAGCAATATTTAGTTGGATTATATTCAAACTTTTGTGATATTTGACTAAACAAATAAGAGCCCACTATATACTAGTAAATATTAAATTGAAAATTGTAAATCAGTACAAATTGATTGTTGACTTGTTTTTTGGCCTCACTCAATAAGTTCGTAGGATGACTAATAAAACAACAACTTTTGGATGAACATAGGAGAGATATAACAAGACAGGTATCCTAAAATTAATATGGATTTATTGATACATGGGCCATTTATATGTCACCCTAGGAACTTATTGAGTGAGGTCTTATATTACTCTAAATTCGAACTATTAGATTAATTTATTTACAAAATATTACCAATATATTGAAATAAGTCATTTATATATAATATATAGTGCCCGCACAGAAATACCTTTTTTGCTTCATTACAATTATTGTTGTGAATAAAAATGTTTATTTTTTTGACGTTTCCAAAAAGATTATTATTTTTCAAATATATTGAAAGATTTAATAAAAAATCAGATTTAATTAATATTATAGATAAAATGTTAATAATAATTTTATCACAAATTACATTTTTATTAAATAAATGCAAAAAAAATAAAACCTGTACACGCCTCATTTGTACGCAATGAATATTTTATTA